AGCTGGATTTTCACCACAGGGAATATCTTGCAGAGTGTGATACACCAAGATTTCCCAATCGGTTAAGATTTAAAAACTCCTGTAGTCTGAGCCCGGCTTAAGAGTTTAAGAAAAACACTTCTTCCCGCTTGATTACAAGCCATGCCAAATCAAGAGTGAAAATATCACTTGATGGCAGATGAGGCAGAATGTGAGTGCATGTGTAATTGCATGTGCTCATGAATGTGCTTGATGGATTTGTGAATATAATCTGCGTGTGTGAAAACTGTGTGTGCTGTAAAAATGTGGGTCTATGGATGTCCATGAATAATACATTATAGGTCTTAGAAGAAAAGTCAATAGCTGTAACATGGCCAAAAGCTAATAGCTTTGTATTGATTTAGTGAAATTGCTGACTGGGACCCTTGAACACTTGTTCCTCTCAATTCATTTAGCACCTCTGATGACACTGATGTGAAACCTCACACCCTTAAGCACAGAACAGTGTGAAGGACACACTCACTGTCACCACAAGACCTTCTGTGTGCCGCTCTGAAATCTAGATCAGTGGTTCTTAATTGGGGCCACAGATCTGGCCTGATAGGATCATAAATGAGATAATGCATAAAATACAATGCAGCCAACCATAAAATCATACTTAAGTAGCAAATTAAAAAGACTTAGCATCTTTTGTTGTGAGGAGGAAAACACTTCACATACATTTTGTTGTTGTTGTTGATTACCATATTATTTGTTCCAAGCGTTTACATTTACCTTCGTACAGTTGAAATTCCATGGGTGAAACGTGGTCATCTTAATGGGAATCCACATGATTTGGAATTTTGTGCGAGAGATACGAGATAAACATTTTCTGCATATGGATTTCACATCAGAATCAAGGGGATTTTTTGGGTGCAATTTGTCACAGCAGCATGATTTGGAAGCAAACTCTAACTAAGAGACGCTTCATGCATCGCTACACTATTGACATAGATAATGGCCAGCTACTGTTAATGCATTTATTTAAAAAAATCCTTTTTATAATTTAGTATTCCATTATTTCCCCTCAATTTTTTTTTTTTTAAATTCCCTTTCCCTGACTTTTCCAGGCAAGGAAATCCTAATAAAAAATAAAATTAATTAATTAATAAAAAAAAAAAAAAAAAACATTAGAGAACCATTGATATAGATAAAGATGCATATATGTTCTCCTCTTTAAGATATTTTTCAATTTCACAGTTTCTATTCAACACAGGATATGACGCGGGAGCTGGATACTTAAATATATAATATAATATATATTAAGTTGCAAAATTCAAATATTTTTGTTACTTATTTGTTTTGTAAGTGGTTAAAAGTCTGAAAACAATGGGGTCCAAATCTGCAAGAAAAAAAAGAAAAAAAAAAGGTGATATTAATAGTACAATAGTACACCTGCATTGCTTCACGGTCAAACAAACATTTGTGACATGGACCATGTGAACTCCTTTGTACAAAACGTTAGATTTCCTTGCCTCTTTTGAAGGATGCAAGATGCTTTTTAATCAAATTGTTATTCTGAATATGCTAAATATAATGTTACATTTCATTTTGATGGTCACTTTTGAAACTATAAGTAACTTTGCAAGTACACTCTCATTAGTGTATTAGTAGACTTTTATGGTGGAGTTTGGTGTTAGGATTTGGGTTAGAATCAGTTGACATGTAGTTGCAAAGTTACTTATAGTTAGATAAACTATAAGGAACTAAAGTGGACTATTGAAAAAAAGTGTTACCAATATAATTTGATATTACAATATTTTAGTTAATTTTGTTTCATTAAAAATGCTAAACAGAAGTATCTTCTTTTACCAATAGAGTCATGTGCTATGTATAAAATCTCTGTATATAAACCCAACATCACTCAAACCAATGGCAAAAATAGTTGTCTTGGTTTCTGAGCAAAAGGTTACATGATTCAGAATTTGAGGAGCTGTGACATGGAAATGTCTTCGGCAGAAATGCTCTTTGGCATTCACCAAGGTTCAGTGGCAGTACTGGGCTTGAACATTACGCAAGCGAGCCCTAAGGTTATCATAGTGCCGGCTGTGTAAAGAAAGAGTGCATAGATTTGAGGATGATGTGCAGGAGGAACACAATGTGTGTTGACGACTGTCTGCTTCTGATACTGTCAACTGACAGCTGCTGTCACAGACACTGAGCTGATGTTAAAATCGTATTATTCTGAGTATTATTCTCAGCATGTAGACAAGTGACATAAGCATCTTTTCCCATCTATTTTTAAGGTTACCTATAAATAATTTTCAACATAATCGACAAAGACTTCTCTAACAATCATGGTTCTGTTATGTTTGGACTATATTTGTGGTTTCCCGCTTGAGTTTGTCACGATGGTTACTGATTTGATTTCCTCATTCTGTTCAGCTGTTCATTATTAAATAGCTTAGATGATCTGTGTTTAATAGTTCCTGTGTTTTCAGTTCTCATTTGTCCGGTCTCATCTATGTTATGATTGTGTTTGCTTGCCTGCCTTTGTTTGGATTTACCTGTGGATACTATTAAAGACTGTCTTGGATCTTTATCTTCTTCGTCAAAATCCAAGACATTCTTTAACAGTATCCACAGGTAAATCAAAACAAAGCAAGCAAACATAACCATTAAAAAGACAAGATTATATATATATATATATATATATATATATATATATATATATATATATATATATATATATATATATATATATATATATATATAATCGTCATTTACTCATGTCATTGCAAACCTTTATAGATTTTATGTATTCATTTTATATATTTTTATATAATTTTTTGACCATGAAATACAAGAAGTTAAGCAAAATGCTCCATTAACAATTGACTGTGATTTACTCTTTCAAGTTCCTAAATAAATCAAAATAAAGTTTTCTGCTGTATTCCAATACTTATGACACAAGTTTTGTGATTAACAGGCCAAAGTTTAAATTGTTATTGATAATCTTCCCTTCCACCCTAGTCTCAAATCCCTTTTGAACTTGCATCATTATGGAGCCCCCTAAAAAATAAAAAAATAAAAAAATAGGCCTATATCGTGGCCATGAATTAACAATTTGTTCATGAGTTAACATTGTAATAATCATGAGTTAACATTGTAATAATTTGTTCCCTTGTTTTAGTTTAATCAAATCGAGGGAACAAATTAATAAATCATGGGAGTGAATTATTAACAAGACAAGCTCCATGAAATTAAAAGAGTAAAAAATTATGATAAAATTACAATAAGCCACATCACAATTTCTGTTTTATTTCAACTAATCGTGCAGCCCAAACATGAATTTCAATGCATGCAATAAGAATATAATAATATAGAATATAATAAACCAATTAGCATCTTTGAATAAATTATGCTTTGTCTCAGAACTACCTTTAATTACATTTATTGGAAATCACAGGTTCTGTTCATTACATTAACAATGGATATGTACCACTTTTTTTTCTTTCTTTTTTTTTTCTAAGTCCAAACACTGTCTTTATTTTGTTTAAAAATGTTATGCATCTCTTTTTTTTAAGTCCATGAGAGGAAAAAAAAGCTTATTTAAAAGCAGAATTATTACCCAGCTTTTGAAATCATATCAATTTTCAGCGGATAAACAGAGTTGTTCTGTGATCAGACCTGGTTCACTTTACAATGTGAAATATAGCAGTGATATGTCAGTATGGCCTGTGGAGTTTGAGGGGGAAGGAAGGTGTTCAAACTGGGAATGAGCTGGTAAAACACACTTTCTGCACCACAGGGTCACATCTCACCTTAACTCCTCACCCACAGTGTGGTATCATGACACAGACACCAAAGAGGAGTAATGTTGTTAAATCTTGTGAGAAAAGATAAACCATTACCACTGGATTCTCTTAATACTCTCTGCCCTCAAAGTAGTTGCTTGCCTTGTTAAAGGAAGAATGAGTCTGAAAACTGTTCATACTACTCTCTGTTAGAAAATACTGTGTTAACTTTCTTATTTGAATATTTGTGAGGTTAATAACACTGATTAAACAAGTATGAGTTGTGGGCATCTGTGGTTACATGAAAATATTTACATCTATGGAACCTTTCCTGCACAAAAGGTTCTTTATTAGTGGAAAAAAGGTTAGTCAGAATACTAAAGTGTTGTGCATTAGGACAGGGGTAGGAGGGGGAGGGGAAGGGGGAGTGTGGGGGGGGGGGGTATTGGTTAACTGTTACCTGAAAGGTTCTTTGGGGAACCAAAATTGGCTATATGGCATTGCTGAAAATAAATAAATTGGAACCTTAATGTCACGAGTATGTTGGGTTGTTTCTGTTCTGTTCCTCTTTGCCTGTGTTCCCGATCCTTGTTTGTTTCTATGGTTACTGATTATGTAAGGCACCTGTCTCCAGTTCTGTTAATTAGCCTCCTTGTGTATTTTCTTGTGTATTGTGTTGAGTTTTCCCTAGTACGTTTTCTAGTGTTACCCATATGTTATTGCGTGTAGTGCTTTGTTTTACCTAGTGTTCATTAAAAGTCAGTTTGATCATCTTCTTGTGTCTTTCTTGGATTAGGCAGTTCACTGTAACACTTTATTTTTAAGTTACAAATAGTTTAAAAAGTGAAGATTAAAAAGCCTATATTCATGTCTATTGACATAGTATAAGAGAGAATAACCGTGTCTATTTGGTCACACTTTAGTTTGGGGAACACATATTCACTATTAACTATGATTTTTGCTTCAAAAAACTCCTATTTTACTGCTTATTAATAGTCAGTAAGGTAGTTGTTGTAGTGGTTAAGTTAGATTTAGGGATGTAGAATATGGTCATGCAAAATAAGGCATTAATATGTGCTTTATAAGTACTAATAAACAGCCAATATGCTTGTAATATGCATGTTAATAAGCAACTTAATAGTGAGAATTGGCCCCAAACTTAAGTGTTACCGTCTACTTTTCATATAACAGAGATTACAGAGCATTTTATTTATTTTAACATGTGATTCATTTGTTGCTTTTTAGGTGAATGACAGACTGGACCGGTCTTGCTGTGGTTTCAGACCTGACCCATCAGAACTGTGTGTAGAAAACCTGCTGCATATCAAATGTGAAAACCCAAAGGACTTAAATCTGGTGCACATCCTGGTAAATGAAATATTGGTGATATTTGTCAGATCAATTATAACATATCAATACAAAGCAGCACACAGCATCCTCACATTATCTCATATTATCTCACGACCAATTCGTACGAATTCGTACGAGTGATTAAAAGGTGGCTAATTCGTATGAATTTGTACGACCTCACTCGTACGAATTCGTACGATTTGTCTAAACCCACGTGATGGGTAGGTTTAGGGGTGGGGTCAGGAGTAGGTCATTCGTACGAATTCATACGAATTTGGTAACTCGTAAAATATGTACGAATTAGCAAAATTCGTACGAATTTGTACGATTGAGGTCGTATGAATTCGTACGAATTAGCCACCTCGTAAAATTCGTACGAATTGCAGTGAGATTGGGTTGCAACTCCAGTTGTGGAGAAAAGGGTCCCATATTTTATAGAAGTGAAATTGTTTATTTATAAGAAACAGTTCTTCAAGGGTACAAGATCAGTGCACTTCTAATTCATTGTATTATTATATTAGAGGATAAAGCATATATATTCATATTATATATATTTGGAGGATAAGGGATATATTTTTACATTTTTTAAATACATTTTTTTACCTTGTTCAAGTGCCCTTAAACTAGTCAGGAGTTCATTTGACTTTGAAGAGAGTAAACATGCATAAATGATGATACTATGACTTCAGTGAAACTTGAAGCAGTTCCTTTTTTATTCATCTAGTTTTATTGACCGGTCTCACGACAAGGTTACATCACTGGCAAGCATTCGTTTTTCTACCAGGAGAGAGTAGTAAAAAAAATCTTTCATTCTGCTTTCCAATATCAAAAGTAATAACTTTCCAACAGCTCTTGAGATCTATGTGAAGTTTGAGCTCCCACTCAAACTGTGAGTTAGAAACCCAGCTATATTAAGTGAGGCAGATAAAATGAGTCAAGGCAATCCGTTTCCATGGGAGCCTTCAGATTGGTTCTGTAGTAATTATCTGATAGTGTTCGGAGAGCTGGAGAAATGCAGCTCCAAAAGTCATCTGTTTTAATATTGCTTGCTCACAAAAAAATTCCACAATTTTAGAAATATCTCCCTGTCACTTGGAAAAACCTACAGAGCTCACAGCAACTAGTATAATTCATACAAGCTGTCTTTTTTTGTTAACCCTAACCCTGAAATTAAATGTGCATGCGAAGTGAAAAACTTTTTGGCAGACAGGATGTTTCAGTGATACTTTAGTCTTGACTTCTGCATATATATTTGTACACACTGAATATACTTTTGGCACAATTGTGAGATTAGAAATGCAATTAAACAGAATCAAAAGAAAGAAAAGAGGTCTAGCATTTGGTGTCAGTTGTCACTTGGTTTGATATTTTGTGTCTAATGCAATGCAATTCTAACATTTTTAAGTGTGACTTAAATGGTAAGATCAATAACAATAAAAAAGACAATTCTGTCATCAATTACCCTCTGCAAAACACAAATGATAGATATCAAAACCTAAGAGATTTCTGTCCCTCCATCGAAAGTCCACACAACCAAAACTTTGACACTTCAAAATGTTTCAAAAAGACATTGTAAACACAATATGAATCCTAGTGGTTAATCCAGGTCCTCAAAAGTGACATTATGGCTTTATATGATAATATAATTTAGTCTTTAAAATAAAAATTGATTAAGGTTCAATAAAGCGGAAGATCAAATATGCTTGCTTAACCCACAATAATCAATGAGGTTTGTTCTTGTGTGTCACACAAGCGCGTTTGAGCTTCTGCAAGAAACAATAAAAGGTCGGTTCTCACATGCCAAGCAAATACAGTTGAGCTTCTGTTTACCACATTTGGTGTGCTCTATATGTACGTGTGTTAATTAATGTTTATGCGAATAAAAGCCTAAATTAAATCTGTTGAAGTTATACGTGATCAAGTCTCTTTTGAAGAGTTGGATTAAACTGCTCAATTTTTACAAATCTATGGGCATTCAAGAAATCAGAAATTGCTTATACTTCATTAAAAATATCAAAAATAAACAAAAGTGAGTAATTGACAGAATTTTCATTTTTAAAACAATTTGGGGTCTCTGCAAATGATATACTAGTAAATAACGATGAATCGGTTCAGTTATGGTCTATGTAAACCTCTATTTATAGGTTCGGAACACAGAACCATCCAGACTGGTTTTTATTGACAATGCAGGAAGACCTCACCAACCACAAGACAATCTCAACTTCAGACTTGTTGAAGGTATTGATGAGTAAGTATTAATATTTGTGAATATTTATTCTACCCGTACTATTTACAGCAGGGGTCTCCAACCCTGATTCTGGAAAGATACCTTCCTGGAGACTTCAGTTACAACTAGCATGTGAGCGGAGCTGTAATATTTCCTCCGGAGCGGAAAGCTCTTTGTGAAATGCTGGTTCGAGAATACGTAAAGTAAGCAATAGGTCTAAGGTTATGGAGTTCAAATGTTGTTTTAATGAAGTTGCGAACCTTATACATAGCCGAAATGCACGGTAAACATCAAAGTAAAGAATAAAGAAGAAGAAATTTAAAGTTGTGGAGAAATGGTGAACGTGATTTCACCAAGTACAACATGTTCCTGGATCAACTTCATTGTTGATCCTGGAATAACATTCCAATCAACCAATCAGATTTGAGGGACAAGTTTACAGTTTATCTCAAGTTTAGAGTTACAACAAGGGTTATATGCGTCTACATCAGTGTTATTCACCTATCATTTTCCTCTGAACTTAGGGGCAAGTTAGGGTAGGGATAGGTTTGGGGGTAGGGATAGGGTTAGCACTATTTCCGGACAGGAATGTTGTTCCAGGATCAACAAAATATGTTGATCCAGGAACATGTCTCAATCGACAAAATCACTGTGACCGTTGAGGGAGCAAATATTCATTTTGTGATATACTCACAGCGAAGTTCTTTTTTGTTTTTTGCTTATGGATAAAAATAAATTTGAAATACATTCGCAGCGCTATACTGTTAATATGTAAATAATGTGCTGCAAGCTTTCCTCTATAAATAACTAAATAAACACAGCAAAAATAACAGTGGCAAGGAAACAGCAGTTAAGAAATCATCTGATCACAGTGATGTGGATATGATTGCACAAGCTCTGCAATTCGGCACTTTCCAATTAAGTCACGTCACATTTATTTATAGTCTACTACTTTATCAAATACTGCTTTAAAGCCACAAATATCATAACTGTTATCTATGGGCCTACTGTTATTGAGACATTTATTCAAGAAATTAATTACAAACAGAATGACGTATTGTACAGAGAAATATAATGTCGGAGCGGGATTTGAGCGACTTTATTTTACCGTGAGTGTGAGCGGTGAGTGGAAGATCGCTTGGGCCATTATTGATTGAGCGGAGCGTACTAGCATATCAGAAAATTGAGCTGAGCATCACACCGCTTTGCTTCACTCACATTCTCTGGTTCCAACCCTTTTCCAAACACGCCTGTCAGCAATTTTCAAGTAACCCTAGTAAGTAACGTGTTTTATCAGATTTTGTTGAGTGGTGTGGAACTGCCTTTCTAAACATTAATGTAAACAAAACTAAAGAAGTGTACATCAACTTTGGCAGGTCACCTGTGTCTCTTCCTCCTGCTCTTATCAATAGCCAGGCTGTGAATCAGGTAGAGAACTACAAAAACCTGGGGACAGTCATTGACAATAAGTTGCGTTTTGAGTCGCAGGTAGATGCTGTCTGCAAGAAGGCTCATCAACGTATGTACTTTTATCGGAAACTTAGAAAATTTAACCTGGATACTACTTTTATGAAAATGTTTTATTCCTGTTTTATTGAATCAATTTTTACTTTCTCATTTATCTGTTGGCACGGTTCTCTCTTGGAGAAGCAAAAGAACCGTCTTAATGATGTTGTCAAAGTGTGTAGTAAGGTTGCTGGAATTGCCTTAAATGACCTAAGCGAGGTGTACAGGGTCAGATGTTTGAGGAAGGCTAAGGCTATTATTGCTGACCCATCTCATCCGTTGTACCAAGAGTTTTTACTGCTTCCTCCGGGCGCCGTTATAAAGTTCCACGGGGTAACACCAACAGGTTTGAGAAGTCCATGATCCCCAGAGCGATTAGTCTTTTAAATGAATGAGTGTATGAGTATATTTAATGTAGGCCTATTGTTTTAGAATGTGTTCTTTGTTTTGTGTCGATGGTATGTTGTATGTGACTGCTGGCTGTAAACTAACTTGCCCCATGGGGGATAATAAAGCTTAACCAACTAACTAACTAACCCTGAACACTTTGATTAGCTGCTGCAGGTGTGTTTAATTGGGGTCGGAGCTAAACTCTGCAGGATAGTAGCTCTCCAGGGTTGCACCAGTCATTCATAAGTTCTTACTTAAATTAGAGTTAAAGTCAACACTGGAGGCTTAGGGGCTGTTTACACGACACCGTTTTCATCTAAAAATGTTATAACGGTATGTGTTTTGGCCGTTCGTTTACACGACAACAGCGTTTTGGGTGCCTGAAAACTCAAACTTTTGAAAACGGGTTTCGAAGTGTCCAAGTCTCTATGTAAACAACAAAAACGAGAATCTCTAAAGACGATGACACCATGCACATCCGTATTACGTGTTCAGTCTATAGTGTTTCATCGCCATCTAATGCCATTGCAGAATACAGCATTTTAGTCGTTTTCGCGGTGTTGGGGGAATGGGGATAGTTTTGACAATGGTGTCTGTCTGTACGCAGAAAACTCAAAGAAAAAAGTTCTCAGTTTTTAGCATATTTTTGTCATGTAAAAGTATCCTTAGAAACTACAAGATAATTTGTAACTAACTCTGTACTATATATGGTTGCACCATTTGTTCTGAAGGCAGAATGTAGCTAGTAGGTCATAAACTCTCCATAAAGTAATCTGTAGTCGCATAATGCAATGCTTAGTCAAGTCAAGTCAAGTCAAGTCACCTTCATTTATATAGCGCTTTTAACAATACAGGTTGTTTCAAAGCAGCTTTACAGTGATAATAGGAAATGAAAGTAACTTTTTGTTTGTTTTGGCTTTACAGCAGCTCTAGAATGAAGTTATTGTCCAGCTAAAGTTAGTTTTGATTGATTCACTTCCGTTGCAAAGATCATTAGTTTTTAGTTAGTTGTTATTAGTTAGAGTTTACCCTCAATAATCCAATAGTTGGCTGCAAATATTTGAGTAGAAGTTGATTCAAAAATGCCCTGAATTTCAGTTTATCCTTGATTCTAACTTATTTTGCATCATACAACTAACAATAAAAATATGTTTCCTTTGAAATAGAAACGACTTAATTATTAATAACATTATATCCAACCCGATCTCACGAGCAATTTGTCCGAATTTGACGAGTGATTAAGATTAAGACAAGAATAAAACTGGTTAAAATGTGTTAACTATTACTAGTTTGAACCATGACTTCTTCATTGTGACCTTGAGCAACACACTGTTGACCCTGAGGAACTATCCCTGTAAAATGCATTGCAAGTACATTTGGATAAAAAAGCCAAGTAGAAAAGTAATGTTTACTGATTCAAATTTTAGAATAAGGATATTGTTATAATTATTGTTAGAAAAAAATAAGAATGCCCCTCTACTGATCAACATGTACAAAACTCTCAGTGTAAAGGCCCGTTCACACCAAGGACGATAGCTATAACGAGAACGATAAAGATATGGTTCTAAAAAAAATCAGAATAGCAGAATTTACACCACAACTAACGATACCGGCACAGAGAAACAATATCGTTAGAATCACTTTCAAAACTCTTTTTTTCAGCTGATGATTGATGAAAACATTGATAGCCAATCAGAATCCATCCTGCTTTAAAGACTTTGAGCATTTAAAGCAGCAGACGACATAACTGCACAGTTAGAAAAAACAGAATTATATTGTGTGTTGGTGTGGCCACTAGTTACCTTTATAGCTATCATTCTTGGTGTGAATGGGCCTTAACTGTGTATTTGTTGATTGCCAGGTTTCCAGAACACGCTGTTTCAGTGCTGCAGTCAGGATGTCTGGAGAGGATGCTTCTGCGCTCCCTATCTGTGGATCAGGAATTCTGGATGAGCAGAGGAAAGGTGTCCGGACTCAAATCTCTCATCCGGCACATAGAACAGAGAGCCAAGGCCCTTCTCCAGCACATACAAGAGAAGAAACTGAGACTATAACTCTCCAATGAAGAGATTCTCACATTTTGTAAATAATCAATTCCTGAATTCTCAGAGGACACAAAGATTTATGGAAATTGTTTGCTTTGATTTCAAATCAATTCGCCCAGATTCATTTATGTGCATGTCTCGAAGTGTGTTTGTTTGATGTGCTGTTTACAAAGTCATGCAAACTATGGAAGACAGCTTAAATGAGAGGAGGCAGTGCATTTGCATGGATTTTTGAGTGATTTCCCTAATCAGTGTTGACAGTCCTTGAACTTTGATTAACTGATGCTCTCAGTATGAGAGAAGAGATTCCAGATGGTCATTTGCAAAGCAGGACTCATGCAGAGGCCCATCACTGTGAAGAGACTTACACTATGTCCTAAGCAGACACGATGCAATAAGATTTCAACAGCAAGCTATTTATCTTTCCATGCTGCATGTGAAAGTGCTGCCCGGTGGCACACGGTTACAGCCAAGTAGAAGATATTTTTTAATAAAGTATTTAATATACAGTTATGAGGAGTGGGACTTTGGATTAATGAGATTTCATAGTGGAAGGGGTTAGTCAGTCTAATGATGCTGAGAAAAAAATAAAAAAATTAAAAATGGTGTAGAAGTAAATTTCTGAAACAGTTACAAAGAAATTGCAAGGAACATAATGAATTAAATGCAAAAATCTTTGGCTTATTTACAACAACAAAAAAATAAAAAAATGTAGAAGCCAAACAATTGACAAAATCTTTTGCTCATATTGGACAAAACCAGAATTTACATGGAAGAAATGGAGCTTTGGTTTAGGACGTCTTGCAAGGCTTTCTGTGGTGCATTCAGAAAGGGTAACTGCATCTGTAAATGAAAAATGAAGCTAAGCTTAAAAAAAAACAATGGGATTATGTTGTACAAGCTAAATCTTTAATGAAGGGTGATATACAGTCTAGAATAGGTGCTGAGAACTATGAAACTGTGGTGTGGAGTGAAACTGAGCCCTATCCAGGTATCTCCTGCTGGCTCCTACAGGGCACTCAGTGCCTAAAGGCACAGTTGTGAACAAAACTGCTGAGTCTAAATTTTTGCTGTCCTATGCAGAGTTATCATACATAATTCTCATCATACAACCGACCTTGCTCTCCGAGTGACGAAGGTGACCGCACGCTCCCTGGGTTTGGTGATGTCCACAGCCGTGGTCCAGGAGAGACACCTCTGGCTGAACCTTGCTGATATGAAGGATGCCGAGCGGTCCCGGCTGCTCGACACCCCCATATCACAAGACGGCCTTTTCGGCGGTGCAGTCGAGGATTTTGCCCAACAGTTCTCGACTGCTCAGAAACAGACTGAGGCTATTAAGCATATTCTGCCCCGACGGCCAGCTGCTGCCTCCACCCAGCCGACCGGGCAGAATACTCAGTCTGTTCGCCGCCGAGGGCGCCCTCCTACGGCTCCCGCCCCTCCCGCCCGGCCCAAGCAGCAGCCTTCACCTGGGCCAGGTCGCGGAGGAAGCCGTAAGAAGGCGCCCCAGCCCTCTCCAGCCCCGCCCCCCGCCCCCCGCTAAACGCCGGGCCAAGCGGCGCTCCTGAGACGGGCTGCTCAGGGATGATGTGCACTTCTCAGGAGATGGTGGCAGGACCACTCCTTCCCCCGGTGGAGGGCCGGGGGAGAATCTTTTGTTCTCCACTCCCCGCTGCTCACCCTCGGGGGGGCAGCACCCTAATGTGGTTAAAGAAAGAAGTGACACATTCATCCCTGAGCACACAGAGTTCTCGGACGACACGGTGCGCCGCCCCCGGGCCGTGCACCCCTCGTCCTCCTCTGTCCCAGAGCCGGATGACAGTGCGCGCCGTCCCCGGACCGTGCCGCTCTCATCCTCCTCTGTCGCCAGACCCCTGGCAGAGCAGACCCCCGTGGAACGTTCGTCCTTCCCTGGTCTCCTCTGTCAGGACGCGGTCTATGGCTGTACCCCCACACCGGGCCGCTATGCCGTCCACGTCTGGGTCAGCCATACCGCCTCGCTGCCCCACTGACGGGAAGTCTGTGGTTCGCATGACCCCGCTGGTACAGTCCTTGGGAGCCTGGCTAGAGCTTCCCAACCTGTCCCGCTGGGTCGCACGAACGATCAGGCTCGGCTACGCGATTCAGTTTGCGCGGTCTCCTCTCCGCTTCAGGGGAGTCCGCTCCACTATGGTCGGTGGCAATGCCCCTATCATGAGAGCGGAGGTTGCTACCCTGCTGGCGAAGGGTGCGATCGAGACTGTCCCTCCAGCCATGGAGTGCCATGTGCAATGGACGTGCTGCCGCGGGCTCCTGGACAGGACCCCACCGCCTATGGCACATCAATTGCCTCGAGTTGCTGGCTGTACAGCTCGCCTTGCGCCGCTTCCGAGCCGTGCTCAGGGGCCAGCATGTACTAGTCCGTTCAGACAATACCGCGACCGTAGCGTACATCAACCGTCAAGGTGGTCTGCGCTCCCGCCGTATGTCGCAACTCGCCCGCCACCTCCTCTTATGGAGTCAGAAGCATCTGAGGTCGCTTCGTGCCATTTATATCCCCGGAGCCCTGAACTGAACCCTCCCGGGAGATTGGCGACTCCATCCCCAGTCGGTTCAGCTGATTTGGGACCAGTTCGGGGACGCACAGATAGATCTGTTTGCCTCTCACGACTCGACCCATTGCGCCCTGTATTATTCCCTGACCGAGGGCACGCTCGGCACGGATGCACTGGCGCACAGCTGGCCGCAGGGCCGAAAATATGCGTTTCCCCCAGTGAGCCTTCTTGCGCAATTCCTGCGCAAGGTCAGGGAGGACGAGGAGCAGGTCACTCTGGCCCACCCGGACCTGGTTCTCCGAACTCATACTCCTCGCGACAGCACCTCCTTGGCCAATTCCTCTGAGGAAGGACCTCCTTTCTCAGGGACGGGGCACCCTATGGCACCCTCGTCCCGATCTTTGGAACCTCCACGTGTGGCTCCTGGACGGGACGAGGCAGGTTTGAGTACCCTGCCACCAGCGGTGGTGGCTACCATCACTTCCGCTAGAGCGTCGTCCACGAGACACGTCTATGCGTTGAAGTGGAACCTCTTCGTCAACTGGTGCTCTTCTCACCGAGAAGACCCCCGGAGATGTTCGGTCAGTGTCCTGCTTTCCTTTCTTCAAGAGGGGTTGGAGCGAAGGCTGTCTCCCTCCACCCTCAAGGTCTATGTCGCCGCTATTGCCGCACATCATGACCCGATAGAAGGTAAGTCTGTGGGGAAGCATGACCTGATCATCAGGTTCCTGAGGGGAGCGAGGAGACTGAATCCTCCTCGCTCTCCTCTCGTACCCTCTTGGGACCTCGCAGTGGTCTTAACTGCCCTGCGCAGCGCTCCCTTTGAGCCTTTGCAGTCAGTCGAGCTTAACTTCCTGTCAATGAAGACAGCGCTTCTGACTGCATTGGCCTCCATCAAGAGGGTAGGGGACCTGCACGCATTCTCCGTTGACGAAGCGTGCTTGGAATTCGGGCCGGGTGACTCTCACGTGATCCTGAGACCCCGGCCTGGATATGTGCCCAAGGTTCCTACCACTCCCTTCCGGGACCAGGTGGTGAACCTGCAAGCGCTGCCCCCGGAGGAGGCAGACCCAGCCTTGGCACTGCTCTGTCCAGTACGTGCTCTTCGCATCTATGTAGACAGAACGCAGTGTTTCAGGACCTCAGACCAGCTCTTTGTCTGTTATGGTGGGAAGCTGAAGGGAAAGGCTCTCTCCAAGCAAAGGTTGTCTCACTGGATAGTGGACGCCATTGCTTTGGCATACCAGCAGCAAGGTCGACCGTGCCCCCTTGGTGTGACCGCCCACTCCACCCGGAGTGTCGCGTCCTCTTGGGCTTTAGCGCATGGCGCCTCGCTAACAGACATCTGCAGAGCTGCAGGCTGGGCGACACCTAACACATTCGCCAGATTTTACAATCTCCGAGTGGAGCCAGTCTCCTCCCGTGTACTGTCTTTTTCAAGCTAACATGGGATCCGTTAGGTGTCTTCGCTTGCTCGCCATGCCACTCCTCGGACTGGATACGTGCGATATTCTCCTCAGGTGAGCTTTCCCGAAAGCCCTGAGCTCCTCCAGCACTGCTGACGCTGGCGCCAGTGTCTATTGCCTGCGCGTCGGCTAGGTGCCTTCCGTGTGCATGGTACCTCCTCTGAGCTACCCCCACATGTGTATTTCCACTGTAAGCCTCTTTGAGCATGTGTCTTTCCCTCGGCAAGCCACCTTGCCACCCCTGGGGTTGAAATATTCCACCTGCGGCTGGACACCCCAGTGATTCCCCATATGCATCCCTCGGGTCATATGTGTATTTTTAAGTCCCCCCCTCTGGGTTGGCAGTAATTGCATACTTCCCTAAAAGATCTGGGATATGCTCCCCAGTGTACCTTGGTATTCCTGTGTTAAATAGGAGTCCTTCGTCCGTGCTAGTCTCACGACAGGGATCTCAGATTTACGCAGGGCACTGGAAGACAGCTGAGAAGTGGCGTGATTAGACTGGTATCCCCATTCGTCGTCATCCGACGGAACTCGGAGTGACAACGAAAGGGAACGTCTCGGTTACGGATGTAACCCTCGTTCCCTGAGTAGGGAACGGAGACGTTCCGTCTGCCTGCCACTTCCGCTGTACCGCGGGGATCGCCTGAGCTCAGTCTTGGCTTCTCAGCGAAGAAAACATGCCTATTTGCTGCCAGCGTTCTCCTTAAATACCCACGAGGTGAGGCGGAGTTACGCTATGCAAATTCCGCAGACCCATGGCATTTCTACATCCGTAACCGAGACGTTTTTACTGCTTCCTCCGGGTTTTTACTGCTTCCTCCGATACTAACTGTCAAAGTTTTCCAAGGAACCTCAGAATGACCAGCCCGATCTCACGGCAATTCGTACGAATTTTACGAGGTGGCTAATTCGTACTAATTCATACGACCTCACTCGTCCAAATTCGTACGAATTTTGCTAATTCGTACATATTTTACGAGTTACCAAATTCGTATGAATTCGT